TTCCCTATTTATTCCTCTAAATTTGGAGGCAAGGAGTAGGGGATAGGCCGGCGGCTAGGCTAGGGTTAGGGTGGGAATTTGGGTGGCTTGGAGATGGGGAGGGTGGGGTGTTAGCCGAGTAGGAAGGGGGGGTGGTGTGGAGCTTGGCCGAGAGGTGGGATGGGGATTAGGGTTGGCCAGCGGTGAGAAGGCTTGGAGGAAGCCGATGGGTTTGGGAGAAATAGCTTCGCCGTACGGTGGAAGGGAAGGGAGGGAGGAAGAGAAGAAAGGATAGGGAAGAAAATAGCCATGAACCCGGATGCTTCCAAGGTTGGTGGGTGATCTGTTTCCCTCTCCTAGGGATTTCTCTCCAAAGCTCCCAAGCTCTCACAAAAATACAAAGTTGCAGAAATTTTCATTATAATTCTTCATTAACTTGAAAATAAACATAAGGGGCTTATAAATAGCCTCATACAATGAAAGGGAACTAAAGACAACATTGCCCCTAGGGCTTACATATAACCTGACCCTTGAGTAAGGGTATAAATGGAAAATGCAAATAAAACAAATACATATAGTGAATCAAAAATATATCAGTGTGATCGTGGTCGTCGATCGTCGGCCACGTCTCTGATATACTTTCCATGATCTGATGTCACGATCACAAACACTAGCAATATTTAATATCATATAACTAAACACTAAGTGTTTTCTTGCCACCACAACCAAAACACAAATCATCCTCAAGCCTACATGTGCAACCCAAGTTCTAAAAAAAAAAAAAAAAAAAGAATGGTGCCAAGCTATATCAAACGAATTCAATGTGCTTCTTTGTAATAGTACATGAGACCTTGTTCCGCTAGGCCATACTTGCAATCTAGTTGGCTGCAAATGAGTCTTTTGTATAAAATGTAGTAATAATGGCTCTATTGATCACTAGGCATTGACTACAATGAGACTTTCAATTTAGTGTTCAAAGCAACAATAGTTCATTTAGTTATTACCATCGTTATCTCAAAATGATGAACCATGACACGACTTCACGACAGCAATGTCCTCTTTCTTGGGCCTACGGGAGAGTGTTTTAAAGAACCAACCACCAAGCTTTACTGATACAATTAGTCTAATTATGTTTTTAACCTACATAAGGCTCTTTACGGTTTCAAATTGGCCCAATGGGTATGATATAATGAACTTGAGAAAATACTGCTCATCATTGAGTTCATTAACTCTAAGGCTGATGCCTCATTGTTCATCTTTAGCCAAGTATTCAATCTTTTTGCTGGTATACGTAAATGGCGTCATTATTAACAGCTCAACTGTCATTCAAAATATTATTAATCAATTATCATCTAAGCTCTCCATAAAATATATCATTTCCATATCCTACTTTCTTGTAGTGGAGGTTATTTCTACACCTAAAATTTTTGCTTTGTTTATGTAGGGTTTTTACTTTTATGATTATTTATTTGTTCGAACTTTTTAAGATTAAATATTTTTAGGGTTTACAAAAATGATAAAAAGGTAAGGATAAGAGCACAATAGAACATCACGATGACCCGACATGTAGGGTTTTTACTTTTATGATTATTTATTTGTTCCAACTTTTTTAAGATTAAATATCTTTAGGGTTTACTAAAATGGTAAAAAGGTTAGGATAAGAGCACATTAGAACATCACGATGACCCGACATGTAAGCATAGCATGCTAGTTGACAATGGAAGCAATGACGAATTATATTTATTTAAAGTGCAGCTATTATGAAAAGGTTGTTAAATGTCGTGTTACAAGAATGAAAGAGCCTTTTTAGACTTCCATAAGAATGTTACAACATGTGTCAAAGTGCCAAAGGTGGTGAAAGAGGAGATTCATGCATATATGAACAAGGTGACAATGTTAAAGCCTTTGGCACAACGATAGTTCGATGAAAAAATAAATATTAGCTTTAATTATGGAAGTAAGCCTAGTGACGAAAATTCCTCATCTTATTTGCTACATAAGTCATGTAGAGGTGCAAAAGGGCCTATGAATTAATAAATGGTAAATATGGAGAATGACGTAGATGTTGTCGAGAGAGTAGACCATAGAATGTCTTCTAAAAATACTAGAGGTATGCAGACATATCTATAAGGATATCGAAAGGATCTTTTATGAGAATATTACTCCATTTAATGTGGCAACCTCCCCTTGTTATTTCAACATGATCTATAACATAGGTACTTAAGTTTGCAGCATGAAATATCATTTATGTATGATTTGAAAAGTTGGGTATTCAAGGAGTTGAACAACACTAAAAAAAATTGATAAGATTATAAAAACTTGGAATCATATTGGATTAATGATTATACCTGATGGTTGGTCTATTATCAAGAATAGAAGCTAGATCAATATTTTGATTAACAATCCCCACGATACTATTTCGTAAAGTCAGTTGAAGTATCAGATCAAGTCAATGATGCATAATACATATGTAGACTTCTTTAAAGAGTCATAGAGGGCATGGAAGAGTATCTAGAGGAATAAGTTATTACAGATGATGCTAGTACTTACAAAGCAGCTAGAAATAAGTTGATGGAGAATAAAAAATATATGTATTTCACATCTCTTGCAGAACACTGCATGGATTTAATTTTTAAAAAACTTCAATTACTTACCTCAGCATAAAAATAATGCCTTGAGCAAAGCAAAAAATAAAAGTAAATTCATCTACAATCATTCATTTGAATTGAACGATGGATCCAACATAGTGATGGCACTCCAAATCTATAGCAATGTACTGTTAAAAGTATTGGACCCTACAAGTTCATCATATAGATGTGAGCAAAATTGGACTACATACAATCAAGTTCATACCAAAAAGAGAAATCATTTTACTTCTTTAAGGATGAACTTCTTGGTTAACATCATGTAAAACAAGAGAGTAAATGATAGAAATTAAAAAAAAAATGCTTTAAATGTGATAAAGATACCTTACTTTATAATGATTTTTCATCAGAATGATTTATGAATGATGATAATTAAGTCACACCATCTATTTTGTAACAAAATAATCATAATGTTGATTTCTTTGATAGAGATAGAAGCAAGACAAATATATCTAACACAAACCATCAAGATATAAAAAATAATAATCATAAAAAGGTAGATATTTAAAGCTATAACTATCAACATAATCATTGTTTTAAATTTTAATTAACATTTTTTTTTATTATTATTTCTAATAAAGGAAAAGGAAGATGAATTACATTGAAGATGAGAAGGTAGATTGAGAGAACATTGAAAAGAATTCATTATGCAATTCTAATGAAGACCCCTTGAGTGATGAGAATGTTGAGGACTTCTAGTTATACAAATTATTATCTTGGTAGCTAATTACTTGATATGCTTTTATTTAGATGTTGCACAGTGGAAGTTTGAGATAGAAAATCATATTGTTAAACTTATTTTGTATTGTTGCATTATTAGTTTCTGCTCTGATATCCTATTGATGTAGAACGAAAAGCACACGGCTTTGCTACGGAGAGGATCTCCTCTCCGTAATCTGAAATTGTTCCTTGCAAAACTGAAATAAATCTGAATTTATTCCAGCTCACAAAATCTGAATTTTTTTCTTCAGGTTTTTGTGCCAAAACCTGAGAAAATTCTCAGGTTCCAAGTAGAATGAATGCTTCACGGGAGGAGTTTGGGAACTAGATTAGGAAGTAATGCTTAGGCAAGATTTTGTTCACGGGATCTTCTAGTGGAGGAATTCCACGTGATAGCCTGGGAAGCTTTCGGCCAAGAGAGGAAATACAGCAATTGAAATTGTTTCCAAATGAGGGACTTAGAGTTTAAGAAACAATTAATTGGAAATTGCTAGTTGCTGGAAAATCAAACCATTAATCAAACAGACAACGGCATAGGGAATTTCGGCTGGAGCAAAAAGGGGAAAAAGGTAATAAATGTGAGTGAAGCCAAGGTGGAGGTGATTTAATTTGGAGAGTGATTTGAGGGAATTAATGTCTTAAATCTGAATTTAAATTTAGATTTGAGAATTAATGACGATTGGCTTAAATGGTGGGAGAGATTAATGGTGTGAATAATGCTAATTCGAATTCAAATTTTGGAATTCAAATTTGCATTAATGAAGAGCTCTTCCCTAATTGGAAACTAATTGATTACAAGGGAAGGATTAAGGGAGGCCGGCGGGATTTTTGAATTCAAAATTCTGAGATTTTATTTCAGAATTAAAGACATCATTAAATGCCTAATTATTAAGAATGAATTAAGCAATAAATAAATTTGAATTCAAATTTGAATTTTGAATTCAAATCCTTCGTTAACTTAATCCCTCCAATTTAGGAAAGGCAACTAATAATTGGAGCAAAGGTGGGGGTTCTCGGTTGGGGTGATGGAGGGGTTGTTAAAACTGGTGGTTCAATGGGAAGGAGGAAGGGGCCGGTGGCGGTGGAAGGAGGAGATGGGGATGTCGACAAGGAGAAAATGAAAAGATAACGAAAAGAATAAAACCAACGAACCCGGCCGTCTCCAAGGTTGGTGGGTGATACGATTGCCCTTCTCCAAGGGACTCAAATCACGAGCCCGGACCCATCCTGCGGCTGGTGACAACTTCGATTCCTCTCATAGGAATCTCACTAACGCTCTCTTACAAGAAGAACACAAGTGTGGGAAAAAAAATTTCATATTAATCAACCATCATTACAATAGCTTAAGGCCCTTATTTATAGGCCATAACATGGGAAAATAGAAAATTACAAAAATGCCCCTTGGGCCACAACACTCAAATAAATTAACCTAGAGGTAAAATAGAAAATAACATAAAATAGAAACTAAAATGCAGAAAATAATTCATAAATGACAACTTAAATTAGAGCCGTCAATTTACGACGCCTCCTGTGATAGATGCGCCAGATCTTCGTGCCGATGTCCGCATCACCTATCTTACTATGATGTTTGCATAACATTTAAAAGCAACCAAAAAAATAGAGCTTATTTTGATATGTGAACTGATAACCTGCTACCTCTCTATAGTAATTCTTCAAGATGAACCGAATTCTTTGTGAGAACTGCAAGCCCGGACGCTAACACCATGGGATCCCAGCTTCACACTAAACCAGGTTAATAAAATATGCCGATAGCTAACAGAGCTCCAGTACACAGATACACTCAATGTGTGGCGTGTGAGGGAACATGTCCACTGGTTGTACACATTTTAACCGATAGCACCCACTTAAATTTTTCTCAGGCTGCAAACAGTTATCAATAGTTTAGTGCCATCAAAACGCTGATACACTATGGCAAGCTGAGAACAAGTAAAATACTTACCAGACCATGGCAAAGGTAATCAAGGTCACGCGCACAGGTTGCTGGATTGCAGGAAATATAGATAATACGTGAAGCCTGAAGATTAAGTAGATATTTAATGAGCTTCAAGTGCATGCCTGGTCGATTAGGATCTGAAAATTTGGCAAAAACATTTAATCAGTGAAACTCCTCAATTAGGGTATGCTCTTCGGTTCAACAGCTTAAGAGAAACAATGTTGCGCTATCAACAGGAAAGATAGTTCTAGTTTCCAAGCTTAGAGATTAATGAAGTAATTAAAAAAAGAAGCTAATTCTACTGCTTCAAAAGAACTTTTCTCTTAAAACTATGAGTTTGTTCAACATTTTCATTCTCAAGTAAGCCTTCATAATGACTCGCCCACCTACCACCCTTCCCTGGGAACTTCACAATAGAATGATCACGGTACCCTTTCTCCTTGAATATTGTGCACTCCTTGATCAAATCCCAACTTATTTGAAAGAAGAGGAAGAAGCCGATCATTTGTTTAATTTAAGATGTACATGTTATGCTTACCAGAATTAGCAATCTAAAACATCCAGAAATAACAGGGAATCAAATAAAGATTCAGAGGCAAGTTAAAAATTAAAAAAAATTAATACAGAACCTGAGATGACAATGTCAGGTTTTGGGAATTCTTTCCCAAAATCACCATCAATTTTATTGAGGTCTCCTTGAATGAATGTGGCATTATGGATGCCATTGAGCACAGCATTTTGACGAGCATCTGAGACAGCTTGTTTAACAACTTCAAATCCATAGACATGTCTCACCCTGAAAAAATTGGATGGGTTATTTACACAAACTATTAATCATCAGAGATTGAAGGAAGACAATGCTTGTCCGGTAACATTTATCAGAAATGGAATCACACCTTCTTGCAAGAGTCAATCCAATAGTTCCAGTTCCACAAAAGAGATCCAACACAATCTCTGATAGGTCTCCCTTGAGATTAGCAAAATCTTCTATCAACTTATATAAAACCTCAGCCTAGAAAAGTAAAATTACCTACTCAGAGTGCATCAAAGTGCTAATGCAAATATAAGAGTCAATCAAGGCATGCTCATTGCCGCAATCTTTATAGAATGAAAAAATATAACAAAACAGAACTCATAGAGTAAATGAGGAAATAATAGCAGCCTCTTTTACAGAATTTTGAGTTTCTAACAAGTACGTTTAAGCCTGGGCATGTTAATCAGTATCTTTCCTATGACGCATATTGGTTTAAACAAGATAGAGCCTAAATGCATAATTTGGAAGAGAACTGAAAATGGAAAAATGCATATTGGGATGCTTGATCCAAGAAAACGATAGAAAACTATAACAATCAGTCAAGTTTTATAAAAGTTAAAAAAAAAAAACAAAAGTTTAAGAGAAAGAGTAGGAGCTCCCATCAGAAGAAGACAATGCGTTAGCTTGAGAAAAATATAATTAAAATAAACTATGCTTACAAAACCTCATCTATATGATTTTAACGAAAAATAACAACCACAAAATACACCATTTTCCAGAAAAGGTATACAATAATAACAGATGAAAAGATGAAGATTTGCATCTCTTTAACCCTGAAATCATCATGCATGTGAATAATATATCAATCCTGCTGCCTCCTGAAGTCAAGCAATTTACAAGTGGAATTAAAAAATAGACTCGAATTTGTTATTCACATAGAATCCACAATGATTACCCTCCAGAGTTTTCTTAATCAATATCATTTCCTAGTCTGCTCCCACTTCATAAACTCCAACATTCTTATTATTTATGACAAGCTTAAGGACACAAAGGTCATAGGTTGCAAGTGGATATTTATAATTAAATGCAAGGTTAATGATAGTGAGCGGGGGAATAAAGCTGGACTTGTAGCATAAGGTTTTACACAAACCTTTAAACTAACAACCAAAAAAATTTGCTCCAGTTGTCAAAATGAACTTTATTCGAATTCTTCGTGGCCGTGAATTACAATTGGCCTATATATCAATTGGATGTAAAAAAAAAGTCTTTCTAAATGGAGATTTAGAGAAAAATGTCTATATGAGCCTATCTCTTGGGTTTGCGAAGAAGCTTGATGAAGAAAAAGTTTGCAAGTATGGCATCTAGCAATCCCCAAGGGCGTGGTCCAAGTAATTTAGGAAGGCGTTAATGAACCATGGGTACAATAAGAGTCAAATTCATCATATTATATTCTATAAACACTGAAAAGAAGGTAAAAATCCTTCTAAATTGTTTACGTTGATGACATAATAATAGGTGATGAAATTGATGAATTACAAAATCTGAAGAAAGGCCATGCTATGAACTTTGAAATAAAATACTTGGGAACATTAAAATACTTATTAAGAATGGAGTTTGTTGAATTCAAGGAAAGAAACTGTCCCCCAACACAAATACACTCTTGACCTGCTTGATGAAGTTGGATTGCTAGGATGTAAATTTGATGAATATCAAATGCTTAATTCATTGGAGCTGAATTAATTCAAGTGGGATAAATTTGATATGAATTCACATATTTAACGATGTGAAACTAAATGCGATAGACAAGAATTGCTTGTTAGAAAATTAATAACTTGTGAACTTGCGTTGCTAATTTTAAACAAATGCTTTTCAAGATAGATCGCAAGAAATTTCCATAGAAGAACTAAGCAACGTCAATCAATTACATTTAGAAGCAATATGAAACAAACAAAATTAATCCAATAAGTAATAAAGCAAATGGCTCTTAACAAAAATCCAAGGCTTAAGATATAGATCCTTCACCTCGAAGTCCCTCACTTTCACTCTTGGATTCACTCGGTTAGCAGAAGAGGATGGCGCACAAACTCAATGATGCCACTATTAGACAAGTAATGCTGAGGGGGCTAGCCGCCAGGGAGGAAGTCGGATTTGGAGAAGAAGGTGTTCGGCCATTGATGATCCACTCGTCCGCCGGAAGTTGCTCGTCGAGGATGTCCACAAGGTGAGGAAGAATCTGATTCAAGTAATCCTCAACGGTGGGGTCGGAGCCGAATCCAACGTCAAAGAATGGCAATCGGATGACGTCAATGTCGCCTTGATGATCGTATGCAATGCCGTAATCACGCTCCGGATCGACCATTCATGACTATGAGATGTCTGTGCGGTGTTGATGTAGACAAAGGGGGGGGGTCAACTCATGTCCAAAATAAATCAATTTTTGACCTCTCTCGAGTTTACAAGCTCAATCAAAATTAAGCTGAAATGTTAGCTCATTTATGAGCTGGTCTTTAGTTCACTTATTGAACTAAGGGTTAGCTCATTATTAGCTAACATTTTAGTTCTAGTTATCTTTTATTAAATGTAATTTTTATTGTTTTTATGTCTTTAATTATGTTTCTCTTGGAATTCCAAACCGGCCTTTGGAATTCCAAGAAGTGTTATTTCCCATGCCGTGGCTCCTTGGCTTCCACGGTGGGCTGCTATTTTCCGTGCCATGGCCCTTGGATTTCCGGCCGGCTGCTGGTTTTTCGAGCCTGGGGGTTTTCCCGTGTCTTTGGCGCCTTGGTTCCTTACGGCCTCTTCAACTCCCGTGGTGGCTCCTTCGGTTCCTGGGTTGGGCTGTTTTCCGTGAATGAATGGGGGGATTTCCATGCTTGTGTGTGCTTGGATTCGTGTGTAAATTCAATGTCAAGTCTTTTCGTATTCTCTTCTCATACCGATATATATGAGATGGTTTGTATTGTTTTAAAAATTGAATGATATGTTATTTTTGGAAAAGCTATAACATGTGGGTTTGCTTGGAAAAGCTTGCGAGCTTTGTCCACCTTCTTTCTCATCCCCTCCGGAAATCTTGCGAGCTCTTTCCAACCTTCGTCTTGGCTTCTAACCTCTTTCGTATCTCCGCAAGTGCCACTCCATCTGTATCATTCTTCTCTAAGTGAAGCAAGTTTAGGTTGTCTTTTATTTCGATTTAAGTTTGAAAGTTGTTTAATTTCAATTTGTTGTTGTAATTTTGTTCTTAAATTTCTAAGTTTATTTTAGGTTTGAAATGTAAGAGTTTGTTCGTCTCATTTGACGAGCTTGTAGTCGTTTGTCCGTCGTTTCTGTGGGCGGAGGTCCTCGGGTGCCCCATCCCCCGGATTTCTTGCCCGCATCATTTTTGGTATCAGAGCAAGTTAGGAAGTCTTAGGTTCGTGAGTTTGTTTGTCAAGTTTTGTTTGTCAAGAAAAATCTTAGTGATTCATAACAGTTGTTGTAATTCTCGTGAGTCTTATTGTGAGTCTAAATTTAGATTGAGTTTTTTTTTAGTCTTTCTTTGAGTCTTGTTTTTTTAGTCTTGTTTCAGTCGTCAAAAAAAAATAAAAAAAGACAAAAAGACAGAAGAAAGCAAGCATGCAGAAATTGAAGATCCTATGGATAGGTGGATTCCATCAAAATCAACAAATCCTATGGAGTATGAACTATACAAACTTCAATCATGGATGCACATACGAACAGAAAGGTACTTCAAGAAAAAGCAGCGTTTACGAGATCGATTTTGAGATAAGATCATGAAGAAGTATGAAGATTTGATCAATGAATTGGATGCACCGTCTTCACCTCCTCGAAAGAAACCAAAGCTAACTCATCGGGAGATGAGTTCTCAAGAAGGGGAGTATGATGTAGACAAGGGGGGTCAACTCATGTCCAAAATAAATCAATTTTTGCCTCCCTCAAGTTTACAAGCTCAATCAAAATTGAGATGAAATTTTAGCTCATTTATGAGTTGGTCTTTAGTTCACTTATTGAACTAAGGATTAGCTCATTATTACCTAACATTTTAGTTCATAGTTATCTTTTTATTAAATATAATTTTTATTATTTTTATGTCTTTAATTATGTTTTTCTCTTGGAATTCTAATGGAATTCCAAACCGGCCTTTGTAATTCCAAGAAGTGTTATTTCCCATGCCGTGGCTCCTTGGCTTCCACGGTGGGCTGCTGTTTTCCGTGCCATGGCCCTTGGATTTCCAGCCGACTGCTGGTTTTCCGAGCCTGGGGGTTTTCCCGTGGCTTTGGCGCCTTGGTTCCGTGCGCTCTCTTCGGCTCCCGTGGTGGCTCCTTCGGTTCCTGGGTTGGGCTGTTTTCCGTGAATACATGGAGGGATTTCCATGCTTGTGTGTGCTTGGATTTGTGTGTGAATTCAATGCCAAGTCTTTTCGTATTCTCTTCTCATACATATATATATGAGATGGTTTGTATTGTTTTAAAAATTGAATGATATGTTATTTTTGGAATAGCTATAACCTGCGGGTTTGCTTGGAAAAGCTTGCGAGCTTTGTCCACCTTCTTTCTCATCCCCTCCGGAAATCTTGCGAGCTCTTTCCAACCTTCGTCTTGGCTTCTAACCACTTTCGTCTCTCCGCAAATGCCACTCCATCTGTATCCTTCTTCTCTAAGTGAAGCAAGTTTAAGGTGTCTTTAATTTCGTTTTGAGTTTGAAAGTCGTTTAATTTCAATTTGTTGTTGTAATTTTGTTCTTAAATTTCTAAGTTTATTTTAGGTTTGAAATGTAAGAGTTTGTTCGTCTCATTTGACGAGCTTGTAGTCGTTTGTCCGTCGTTTCTGTGGGCGGAGGTCCTCAGGTGCCCCATCCCCCGGATTTCTTGCCCGCATCAGGTGTGGATGTATTTGGTGGTACGAGAATCTTCTCTTGGTGGAACTCGGCAAGCAATGATGGGAGGAGAAAAGTGGAGGTGGCGGTTTGGAGAGAGAGGAGGGCATAGCCGTGAGCTAGGGGGGAGAGGGAGGAATTTAGAAAACTGAAATTAATTTCAGCTTCAAGTGGTTTTGGAGGGAGATTAATTTGAAATTTCAAATTAATCCAATAATGACAAGGGGAGTTAATTGTGGAGATAATTAAGGGTTGATTTGGTGGAGCTTTTAATGTAATTTGGGAGAGAGAAGAGCCCATTAAAGGGGCCGGACATATGGGGGAGGGGAGAGAAGCTTAGGAGTTAAGTAAGTGGGACCCAAGGTTAAGTAAATAAAACCTAATCAAATTTGAAATTTAATTTCAGATTTGATTATATTTTATGTAACTTCCCAAATAGGTTTAATAGGAGAGGGAAACAAAATTTGAATTTCAAAATAGACTTTAATCCTCTTAACTGACTTTCTTAACCGGAGAGAAGCTAATTAGGAAAGTGAATTAATCAAGAGAAATTTGAAATTCAAACAAGAGGGAGGATCCAAGGGGCCGGCGGCAAGGTTGGTGGCCTGGATCCAGCCGCCTGGAGCCGGCGGGATGACAGCCGGCCGGGGAGACTGGCAGAGCCGCCGAGGGCGGGATCGGCCTGGGTGGCCGATGGTGGGCTTATGAAGGCCGGTGGGGGAAATTTGGGTGGGGAGAAGAAATTCGGCTAGGGAGAGAAGGGGAAGAGGGGTTTTGAGGATCGGGAAAATAAATTTATCAAACTACAAACCTTGAACACCACTTCCACAAGAACTCACAAAGAGATCCACAATACTATCTCCTCAAGAACTCACAAAGAGATCTTGGAAAATTTCATGAACTCACAAAGAGATCTTGTAAAATTTCATGAACTCACAAAGAGATCAACAAGAGAGAATTTTTCATTCATCAATAATCATCCTCCTACAATGCATGAGGCCTCCTATAAATAGGCCAAAATGAAATTAAAACTAAAAGACATAAATGCCCTCGGGGCTACAATATCAAATGACTATCCATAAGGGTAAAACAATAAAACTAAAAAAATAAAATAAACTAATATAAAAAATGATTCAAAATATAAACTCCTGATCGTGGCCGTCGATCTCCGGTGGTACACGCGTCGAAACCACTAACGATGTCGTCATCATTTAACCTCGCCAAAACATAATATCAAACAATGATCTAAGCAAAGTTTATAAGTTTTCATTAATCGGTTGTTTTCTACCTTAGTTGTTAATTTTGTAATTAAAACACATTAATAATTATGGTATTGAGCAAAAGAGATTTATTTCATATTTCTTAGCAGTAGACCCTAATTGTTATTTCTGTAATTAAAACACATTAATAATGTGGTCTTAAGAAAAAGAGATTTATTTATATTTTCCTAGCATTAGGTTTGTTCATATGAGTTGGTACAGTGTCGGTTGAATCATATAGTGGATTGCTATTTGACATTTGGGTGGTGGAACTTGCCATTATCCACTTATGACTTTTTTCTACTACAGGATGATTATGGCTCCTTTTGCCCATTCTCTGTGTTTTTTATTATGGTACAGTAGGTATTTGCAACTTATCCTGATCCCAAGCCTTATGACTACACATCCTAATCTCATTCCTTAAGCTAGCAGGATTCTTGTGAAAGTTGCGGTTCTGGGTTGCAATGTCTGTGGATTTCTATTATCTATAAATATATGATATTGCTTATAGGTTTAATGATGTGCTTCGATAGTTAGATATTAAGTTTATTTGATATTCCAAATTAAAATTTTAATTGATTCTTATCTTTTGCGATTGAATTAAAACTTAAATGGAGTTGATTTTGTGCCAAATATCTACAAACCCTAGGATGAGAAGTCTATAAATATAGATTCACCGGCATGTCACAATTTCACAACAACAATAACATCATCAAGCCTTTATCACACTACGTGGGGTCGGCTACATGAATCTTTTTTCTGCATTGTCTCATGTTAAGAGTTAAATTCTCATTTAAATCTAATAAATAAAGGTTATTTCTAATATTTTCTAAACAAGCCTTTTTAGGTCTACCTCTACTTTTCTTAACAAAAGCCAAATCGAATACATCTACTTTCCTAACCGGGTCATCGAAAAGTCGTCACTTTATATGACCAAACCATCTAAGGTGACTCTCTTTAATCTTATCTTCCACTAGAGCTACTCCAACCCTTCCACATATATGCTCATTTCGTATCCTATCTCTAAGAGTAAAGTCACTCATCCACATGAGCATCCTCATCTCTGCAACACTTAACTTAATATTATGCTTCTCTTTTAATCCTCATCTCTGCAACACTTAACTTAATATTATGCTTCTCTTTTAATGCCAACATTCTGCACCATAAACATTGCAGGTCTCACCACCATCTTATAGAATTTTTCCTTAAGTTTGAGGGAGACTTTTCTATCACACAACAAGCCCGATGCATTTTTTCACTTCAACCATCAAACTTGAATTTTGCTAATAATATCTCCATCTATTTCACCATCACTCTGAACAATAGACGCACAATATCAAAAACATGTAATTTTATTAATGACTTGATCGCCCAAAGTCACACTCCCCCACTAGATCTATTTACTACTAAAATTATACTTCATATATTCAATTTTAGATCTACTCAACTCAAAAGAAAACTTTTAAACTCTAAGGTTGACCTCCAAAATTCAAGTTTACCTTCAACTCCCTCTCTAGTCTTATCCACAAGAAGAGCTTACACCACGATACAACCTCGTGCAACTATCTAGTGAGAACAACCATGACCAAAACAAAAACATATGGGCTTAAGGCTGATCCTTGATGTAATACAGTAGAAATAGGAAATACTTGGTCAAACCACCTTGTGTTTGAACACAAGTGACAGCTCTAGCATGTCACAATTTTAATTGAACAAAAATTTCTCTTTCAAGTTTTCAATCTCATTCATATAAGTTGGCTGTGTGATTAATTCGAGAGTAATATAAGTGTGAGTACCTAATTCTGGGGAAAGTCATCTCTTAGTACCAACGTGAGACAAGAATTAAATTATAATAGCTTTTTATTTTAAATGGTTCAAAATTCTTGTTAATTTCTTTTGAATTTACGCAAGTATATCATAATCATTTGAATTATAACTTTTATATTTACTATTTACATTTAAAGAAAGCAAATTATCAAATTATTTAGTGATTTGTTATCTTATATCTCAAGTTCCCTAATATGATTTTTCATACAAAGCATGGTAATAGTTGCATTAGAAAACTCTAACTTGAACCATCCAGCGTCAAACAACTCATGTTCATACTTTGGAATTGAGAGAACATTTTCAAAAGAAACAAGAGCCCTCCGCCACAACATTCCTATATTTCTCTCAAGATAGAATGAAGAACCAAAATGGGAAAAAAAACATCATTATCACTACCATCCGAACTATTTGGATTGGTATGAAAGAATCCTTCATCAACTATCGTTTCTGTGCAGAGATGCATTATAAATTAATACTAGTTTATTTAAAAACTACTGAAGAACCAAAAATCATGCTAGCATTGGCCTTCAACTTTTCCTTCCAAGATCTCATACTTAATTGTATTACCAATAACCATAGTCATGGTTTAAAATTGCGCAATATGTGGCTCGCCTTGAGGCCCGCCTTTGCGCAATTCCAATAAAAAACGCCTCGATGCTTACGCCTCGAGTTTTTTTTATGAGGCTTGCGCCTCAACTTGGTTGAGGTCCGCCTTGAGGTCCACCTCGCCTCACTGGCATAAGGCTTACATCTCACACTATATATATTAAAACTTACATAAATCTTGAAGTAAATGCCCGACATTGGACTCAATAGGAGAGGAGGAAGAGGAGAGAGCAGTTCATCATAATGATGATTCAAATAAAGAACCCCTTAGTGATGACAGTGGTGATGACTTATGAGTTCTTATGTGATATATCATTGCTATTTATTTTTGGAAATTTGAATTATATGTTAATGAAAAGAATACTGGGATTTGGGAAAGATAGAATTTTGAGTTGAACTATATTTCATGTTGTCTTATTATTGGGATATTTTGATTTCACTTCATATCTTATGTTTTTTTATGTTTTATATTATTCACTCATTAGTATATTAAAAATTTATCATTTTATGTTTATGCAATCTTTTGATTTTGAGGCTTACACCTCAAAACGCCTGCAGGCTTACGCCTCGCCTCGCGAATGAAAAACTCCTCAATACCCAAATACGCAATTTTAAACATAGACCATAGTAAAATATAAATAAACTGTGCAAATTTAAGCAATGGAAAAACAAAACATCAGCAAACAAGCTTGAATACCCACAAATTCATCATGTTTAGCACCAAATACAATCATGTATTCAATACCATATTCTACAGGAGATATTCAGGAATCGCAGTAATCAAAAAAGTGAAAATCATCATTGCAATTAATATCCTTGCCTGGTAAGAATTCGTCTGGAAAAAAGAATTGGCTGAAACGTTGAATGTAAGTCCTCTTAACAATTCGTTAATGGTTGATTTTCCATAAAGAGTGTACTCTTGCTCCCCAACAGATGTATTACCAACAGATGAAGTCACATTATTCATGACACTAACCTATGTCCAGTAACATGAGAAAAAAATAATAATCAAATTTTATAACAATAATAACAACAATAACAAGCATTTATCACACTATGTGGGGTCAGCTAATAATCAAATTTTATAGTAACAAATCAAAGAAATCCCGAAAATTATACATCAATTATAAGTGAAAAGAATAGTAAAATACATTGCATTAACATAAGACTTGGGCCTCACATAATAGAATTAGTAAGAAACTGCAAACACGTTTGTTGATCATCTTGTTTACAATTTTTCACATAATGTGAAAATTCCATTGATTGTTTAACAAAGTGATGCCTCGAAAAAGATTTTAAAAAGCTTATGTTGGTGAAGTCAATAAAAAGTAAGGATTTCGAAGGCCACACGAACCACTTCAGGTATAGTAGAAATCCTCCTAACAAGAGGATCCAGCATCTCAGGTTTGTAGCTTGATGTGACAAAATTAACCATAACTTCTGCAAAGCCAGTCATTTTATCCCTGATAAACTAGACATAAAGACCATTTCAGTATTTAATAAGAATATTAAAAAAAAAGGATAACATGTTCTCTAAAAATAAAGAATCTTTGAAAAAAACTTCCACAAAAATGAAAGTTGAAGTGAAAAATTGTATAGCTTTATATTATACAAATACATAAAGGGAGTGACATTCAAAGAAGAGAAGTTGGAAAAAATAGATGTCATTAACAATTAAATGCCAACACCTTGTCATGACATGTTTTAGATTTTCATTGCTCCATCATACTTATTAGCTAATGTTGACGTACATTTTCATGTCGATTCAACTCGAATCGAGCCGATTCGAGCCCGACTAGGCTCGATGGCGCTCGATCAACTTAATTGATCAGAATCAAGATTCAATTAACTCAAATTAGACCCAAATTTAATTCAATTTAATTCAATTAAAATCAAATAAAATCCAATCGAGCCTCGTCGAGCGCAGTTCGACGTAATTCGAAGCAATTCGACGTCGATTCAAGTTTAATTTCATGAAATTAAATTGAGCGGACCAAATCGGACACAAACCAACCCAAATCGGTTCGGGTCGAGTCCAATTCGAGCTTTATTTTAGTCCAAATTAGTCAATTTGGGCTAGCCTTCAAAAATTGAGATCAAGGGCTGAGATCTCACCTCAAATCCCACCCAATTTCACATCAATTTTGGCAGAGAATCCACTCAAGTGGAAATTCTCTCGTTTCACGCAATGAGAAGGCGGGATTGGCAATTTGGGGGGGCTGGCACCGTGCGTGCGCCTCAAAGAGAACGAAATGAGAAGGGGGGAGCCATTCAGCTCCGCCGTGTTCTATCCGTCCAGAAACAAAAGAGAGAGAGCGAGAGGGAGAAGCTCCAGCAAGCCTCCATCCGCGCCTCCTACCCCACTCGCCGTTTATGGTCGCTCCGTCCGCGGCCCGCCTAGCTGAGTGGAAACCAGGCCCGACCGCGTCTGGGCTTTCGAACGAGCTTCCCAGGGGGTCTTTTCCCATATTCATCTGATCAGCCGAAGCCGCAGCCCCTATTCCCGACCCTTGTCCGACTTGAGGGCTCCAACTCTATCTAAGTTTGGATTTATGCGGCTTTTAGTCCGGAGGGAGCCTCTTTCCCCATCCTATTTCAACTCTGACGAGTTCGCAGCAGTCGAGGGAGCTGTTGGAAGTTTCCAAACAGCAAGGGAAGCCTTCGAAACCTCCCAAACTGCGGTTTGGAGGCTTGGGAGTGCCTTGGATAGCAAATGAGGCACCCGGAGTGTCTTGGATAGCGGTGACGACGTCCAGAGCAAATAGGACAGCAGTCTTCTTTCCCCGGAGCTGCTTGGAGCTTGGATTGGAGCGCTTGGACAGCCTGGGTGAGGTAAAATTTCAAAAACTTAGTAAAAACCCTAAGGCACCCTAGCCTTTGATGTGTGATTGACGTCCCCAACCCCTAGGTCCTTAGAAACCTCAATTTTTGCTCTCCCAAAATCCCACATTTGTTGTCCTCTTCGCAAAACAGTAGAAACTTGGTGGTTTTCATTTGTTGGTTCTCATGTGAGAATCCCGAGAGGATGTTAACGCGCATAGGGGTGTTGGATTGGTAACCAACACCTCTCAAATGCATGATTTTGCAGTCATATCGCATGCTTAGCCTTCGCCTACAATGAACCATAGGTTTTGATGATATCTTCCTATCCCAAAATGTATGATGAAGTGTAGGTTTCATTGCATTGTAGGTCAAGTTTGTTTCCCCTAATGCTAATATCGAGACAAAATCGATCTAGTGCGTTAAATTGCATTTGTTGAGTTTGTGTTTCATCTAAGATTTGTGAAATTATGTAAACATACTTGTTCAATTTCAAATGTTGGATAAACTAATTTAGTGTAGTTAATAGGTTTCCAACACCGATGACTACACTTTGTCTTGTGTTGAAAATATAAAAGTTTGTTTATGTGATACCCTAAATTGGAGAGAACATGTATAAGGAATTCTTTTAAAACTTGTAACTTGTTCAAATTACATGCACATTTCATTTACACATAAATTATCAAGAAAATGATTTATGGTTACATGAATGTGCATATGTTGGAGTTTAAGAATTTCTTTGAGTTTTTGCAAATGTTTGTCATGAACTTAATCAATATATGAGGAGCACTGTGATTGAGGTTATGTGTAATATTTCGCAAGATTGGGTAGTTGATTGTTCTTAATTGTGCAAATCTCTAAATTCGAAAACTCAATGTTGTGCCTTTAACACACTAGAAGCATACGTATATTAGAACTTGTAGCTCTTTGTAAATTATGACAAATGCACGCAAATGAATTTGAGCAGCCCAAAACAATTTCTACCTCATTGTGAAATCCTTCACATTACTCTCAAAGGTTTATGTTGATGATTTCATAATGTGCATAGCCAATCAAGATCATATGTGATACTTTACAAAGCTCAAAGTTTAGGGTTTGAACCATCACATGCTTACTTTTAGGTTTCTCCTAGATCTTGTCAAAACTGATATTTAGGATATCCCTAGAAGCTTCCAAGTCCCCTAGATCATGTCAAAATTGATTTAGAAAAAATTTCAAAGCTTTAGCAATCATCTCTTCTTTCCATGAGTCCAAAACATTCATGGAAGAATACGGAATTTCCTTTCTCAAGCATGTCCTCCTTCAAACTTGATACTTAGAACTTCCTCAAAAGTTTTAAGCTCTATGTTGCATGAGTTCAAACATTTTTTTTTAAAGTATGAGTTCAAACGTATCCACCTCCATGTGTGACATTTTGGAGCCTCTCCAAGCTCTAAATGTTCTATTACATGAAACGTCAAAACTTTAGGATCAAATCCTAAGTCACAACTGTTTTGTTGAGACCCAAAATCAACAAATAACTACCATCCCCTTTCATGTGTGATAATTTTGGAACCTTCCCAACTTAGGTAGATGAGCCTATCATATTTACCTAACCCAACTTAGGTAGATGAGCTTATATCATCGAGTACAAACTCGGTGATTGCTTCTTGATCCGTAGTTCCAAAACTACAAATCATTTCTCTCTTATACATGACGTGTGAAGCTTCCTCAAAGCTCCAAACACTTCATTGTATAAATCCTGTAACCTTAGGATGAAAATCCTAGGTTCATTTTATTTCTCTTGTTGACACAAAATCAACAAGTCAACACCATTTTCCCTTCTTGTGTATGTCAACTTGGTTTCCCCTAAAATCCTAAATGCATACTAAGAGACCTTGAACTTGGAACCAACTTCCAAGTTCTTCCACCTTGTCTGTTGGAGCATGAAACCAACAAATATCCCCTTCATGTGTTATATTTTGGATCACCCTCAAAGCTCTAAATTATTCTATCATATGAGCCTTCAAGACCTTAGGGTAATCCTAAGTCCAAACCTTTATTTGTTAAGAAATGAAATTAACAAATAAACAATCCTCCTTCATGTAGAATGCTTGGAGCGTTCTCAAAGCTCCAAGTGTTAGAGCGCATGAATCATTTGAAACTTGGAACCAAATCCCAAGCTCTTCTATCCTCGTTGTTGGAACATAAAACCAACAAATATCTTCTCATGCAAGATGTTCTAAGGCTCCTCAAGCCTTTAAACATATCGTTACATGAGTCCTTTAATTTTAGGACCAAATCCTAGGTTCTCTCCCCTTCTTTGTTTGTTGAAACACAAAGTCAACAAACACACGTCACTTTTCCCTTCATGTGTAATAATTTGAAGCTCCTCCAAAACTTCTGCTTACTATTACATGAGGTTATTGAACTCAGAACCAAACTCTAAGATCTTTCTTTCAATTTGTTTGAACCTAAAGTTAACAATCATCAGTATCCTTCTTCTCTATGTGAAGCAACTATAGGGTGTCTTGTTTGAGTCATTTGTAAGTTTCAAAGTTGTAAGTGTCGTCAAGTAAGTGTCTATGTTTGTAAGTTTCTTTATATAATATAAAAAGTGTCTTTTGAGTATTTTTATGTTGTTCTTAGAAAGAGTTTCTTTTTTGTGATCAAAAATTTGGGTCCCTCTCCCAAATTTTTGATTGCATCACCTGCTTAGACTCAGGACATACTTGACTTCAATTAGATGAATGATCTTTGTTTCTTTGAATATCAAATATTCAAAGAACATTCATGAAATTTTGTAACTTTCAAGTTACATCTCCATTCACTCAATCCCAACTAAGTGAATGATCATTTCTCCTTGAACATCAAATATTCAAGGGACTTCCCTCAACTTGCAGCCCATAAGTTGCATCTCATTTCTCACTTTCTACAACTCAAAAGCTGTAGGAAATTATCTTATTCTCCTAAGACTAGAAATTAGGAAAATGTACATCTCTCTTTGAACATCAAATGTTCAAAGAATGCTCATGAATTTGCAACCTCCAAGTTGCATTTTCCTCCCCTTCTCCTACAACTTAAAACTATAGGAGGACATCTAATCCACCTCATGTTTTGTATTATAGATTTCCTCAAAACCCTAAATACATTATGCTATAAAATACTCGAGCTTGAGATCAAACCTTGAGCTCCTCCCTTTCATTTGCTTAGGTACATGTTAGGCAAGTGAACATCTCATTTTGAACACCTAATGTTCAAAGAGCTTCCCCCGATCTACAACCTCTAAGTTGCATAATCCCCTTTCATTCTCCTTACGCAAACTATGAAAGTGTACCTCTTCTTTTGAATGTCAAATGCTCAAAGAAACTTCTTGAATTTGCAACCTCCAAGTTGTACTTTCTTTCCCTTCTCCTATAACTCAAAATTGTAGTAGAAAATTTAATCTTCCTCATGTTTTGTATTATGGATCCCCTCAAAATCCTAAATACATCATGTTGTAAAATAATTGAATTTAAGATTGAACCTTGAGTTCTTTCATCTCATTTGTTTAGTCTCAAATTGGGCAAATGAATAGATCCTTTTGAACTCCAAATGTTTAAGAGATTTCCCTAAGTTGCAACATCTAAGTTGTACTTTTTCCCCTTTTTACCTAACCAAACTA